TGAGGAGGGGAGGATCCGAGGGAGAAGCAGGCTCTATGCTGGGCAAGGAGCCCGATGCGGGACTCGATCCCGGGACTCCAGGATCACGACCTGAGCCGAAGGCAGTCGCTTAACCAACTGAGCCACCCAGGCGCCCTATTTTTTTAAATTTTTAAAAAAGATTTATTTATTTTATTTTAGACAGAGAGAGAGCACAAATGCGAGAGGGAGAGGGAGAGGGAGAGAGAATCTCAAGTAGATTCCACACTGAGCACAGAGCCCAAAGCGGGCTCCATCTCACCATGCTGAGATCAGGTCCTAAGCCAAGAGTCAGTCACTTAACTGACTGTGCCACCCAGGAGCCCCGATCTCAGATTTTATTTTTTTTATTTTTTATTTTTGTTTATAAGATTTTATTTATTTATTTGAGAGAGAGAAATAGAGAGCACGAGAGGGAAGAGGGTCAGAGGGAGAAGCAGACTCCCCGCCGAGCAGGGAGCCCGTCGCGGGACCCCAGGATCATGACCCGAGCCGAAGGCAGTCGCCCAACCAACTGAGCCACCCAGGCGCCCCCGATCTCAGATTTTAAAAGAACACGTGCAACAGGTAGAAAGAAGGGCACATAAATAAGAGAACGATGCATTTTATAGGTATGTTACATATCAATAAAAAATTAAAATAATAAGAAAAAAATTTAAAGCACTAAATAGATTTGCCTCCCAATTCTCTTAGACTCACATACCAGCAGTGAATTCTTTTACAATCCTAGATCCCACAGATGGGCTTTTCAGCTGTATATTTCAAATCACCACTGAATCACTTACTTGCCTTTTGGCAGTTCCCAGCATTTGCAGTTCTCATGATGGGCTCTCTAGGCTACCACATGTTTTTTTAAGGAAATCACCAGCCTGGCTAACTGGGACCACCACAAAGTCATCAGCCACACCAGCTGGGCTTTCTCGGCCACTGAATCGCCTTGCTTCCAGCCTCCTGCCCTGCTCCACTTCAAGCCCCTCCTTCCCAAAGCTCCTGATCTGCATCTTCTCTCCTCCTTGGAACCCTTCCTTTACACACCCTCTTGACAACGTCAGATCCAGCCACGCGACTGGTTTTTTGTTTTTTGTGTTTTTTTTTGCTTTACAGAAATATTGTTCAGATATTTTAATTCTGTTCATAGTCACATAAATAACATAAAATACAATTTTAAAGTTAGAAACTGCTACACATCCTATGATATCAGTGCAAATAATTTTACTTTTACATTTTCTTTGGTTTGTCTCTGTCGATATTTACACATATGTCATACTGTGAATAAGCTGTTTAGGATTTTTCACTTACACTGTTAAAATGTTACATATTATTACATAATCTTTGTGATTTCAATTTAAGTGGCCACATCATATGGTCCAAGTGATTAAAATGCCTTCCAAGGACCTGAAATAAGTCAGAGCCCTTTCCTGGTTATCAGATACTTTATATACTTTATTCTACAATCTGCTTTTCTGCACTTTCTGTATCATGGACCTTTTCTCAAGTCACTATATATACTTTCTACATTACTTTAAATGGCTGCATCGCATGTTATAATAGGGCTGTAATTTTTTTTAATTTAATGCTTTGAAGAGTTAATATACCCCATGCTTCGAAAATCAGAAAAAATAAAATGGCGCACAGTGTAAAGTCTCATTCTTCACGTCTTGGTCCTCATTCACTCCAGAACATAACCTCCTTCCTCAGTATCTTTTGTGTCTTTCCAGAGTTTATTTAGGTAGATGCAAGCTAATACAAATATCATTTCCTATTTTTGTCTTTCTTTATCAGAATGTCATACATTATATACGCTGTTCCTCACTTTGCTTTTTTCACTTAGTAATTTATCTTGGAGATTGCTCTTGGTACATGGAGAGTTTCCTCATTCTTTGTTCTATAGCTGCATGCCTTCCCACTACACAGTCACCATCCGTGACTTCCATTCTGTCCACTCTTGATGGACATTGTGATCATCCCATTGATTCCTAATGCCATCTCTACCCATTAACCCCAAAACTTTGTCCCATCCATTATCAACCTCAATCCATTTTTACTGGCTTGTTTTTCCTATACATGTCAGATCTCTTGTATCCTGAAAGAGAACTTTCCATTCATTCTAAGGTCCCTCAAAGCTCCTATAATCTTCAAATTTCTAGATTGAGGTGTCCACAGTCTTCATCCACAGCTTCCACTTCACCCCCATTCCCTTGTGATCTGCCTTCCTCTTCTTGTCTAAAACTGATCTAAAACTGATCTCTGAACTGCCATCTACTAGAAACATTCAGCACCTTGGTCTTTTTCTCAGTTCTCACCTCTCTAACATCTGAAGAAGGGTGTGCACCCTTGGTTACCCATTCACTCCTAACTTCTTGTAGAATGACTTCTGTTCAACCCACACTTTTTATACTAAAACGGATCTCCAAGCGTTCACCTGTTAATGCCCCATCCCCCAGCAACCTGGTCTCAGTCACCTCTTTGAACCCCATCCCTAGAGCTCCTGTCAAACCTACCCGCCCCTCCATAGCTAGCCCTAAAGAGCCCATCTTCCCAACGGCTTCACTACTACCCTTTCCTATCAACTCTGTCCCTCACCTCTAAATCAGATCCGAAGTTCTGATTATCTAGACTATTATAATGGACTGCTAACAAACCTTCCTCTCGCAACCTCTTTCCCACTCTAAATGAAAACCGAATACCAAAACAAAACAAAACAACAGGGACACCTGGGTGGCTCAGTCGGTTAAGCATCTGCCTTCGGCTCAGGTAATGATCCCAGGGTCCTGGGATCAAGTCCCGCATCAGGCTCCTTGCCCAGCATAGAGCCTGCTTCTCCCTCTGCCTGCCGCTCCCCCTGCTTGTGCTCAGTGAATAAAATCTTAAAAAAAAAAAAAAAAAAATCCTTTATCTTTAAAAAAAAACAAAAACAAAACAGATCTGACATCATTCCTTTCTTCAAACTTTTATTTCTGGGGGTGCCAGGCTGGCTCAGTCGGTAGAGCATGTGACTCTTGATATCAGGGTTGTAAGTTCAAGCCCCACATTGGGTATAGAGATTACTTAAAAAATAAAATCTTTTAAAAAACCCAACCTTTTATTTCCAAACCAATGAAGCACTAACTCCCCAATCTGGCATTCAAGCCCTTCCATGATTTTAACTCAATTCAACATGTATTGGCATCAGTCAGTGTCATCTTCCACTGCTGTACTAAGCATACCCTATGCTCTAGCCAAACCAATCTGGTTATTTTTCACTAAACACACAGTGTGTTTTTCCACCTCCAGGTTGTGGTTCACCCTTTTGTCCACCTGGATTACCCTCCCCCTTCATCTCTTCTATTCTAAGTCTCTTCCTCCCTTAATTTCACTTGCTGTGGTATCTTCACTAACTCTCCAGCAAATAAATGTGCTGTAGTTATTTGTGCAGTTATCATATTTCCCTACCGGATTCTAAATTCTGCTCAAACAAAATACTGCCTTGAGTGAACCCGTCAATGTACCAGCCTGTGCTAAGTGATTTGCATGCATTATCTTTTTAATCCACACATCAACGTTGTAGGACAGGACTCTCCCCATGTAACATTGAAGAAACTGAGGCTCAGGGGCATCAAGTTGCTTGCCCAGGTCATGCAACTGACGAAGGCGGAATCCCTTTCTTAGTCTATTTAAGCTGCTATAACAAAAAATACCATAGCTTGGGTAGCTTCTGAACAACAGAAACTTATTTCTCACAATTCCGGATGCAGAGAGTCTAAGATCAAGGCTCCTGCAGATTCGGGGTCTGGTGAGAGCCACTTCCTGTTTCTTAGGCGGCTGTCTTTTCCCTGTGTCCTCAGATGGTGGAAGGGGTGAGGGTATCCTTTTATAAGGACACTAATCCCATTCATGAGGACTCCATTCTCATGACCTAAGCACTTCCCGAAGGCTTCTTCTCCTAATACCATCATCTGGGGGGAGGGGGCGGTTAGAAATATGAATGGGGGGAGGATACAAACATTCCATCAATAACATTGGTGTTTGTATTACTTATGGTAGCCAGCACAATGTCCACTACCTACACTGCACTCAACCTGTTTGTGTCAGATCAACATGTTAAAAACAGTGTCTGTCTATAGACCAAGATTCTAAGGAAATAGGAAGGGGGGTATTGAAACGGTAATGAACTGGGATGGCAGGATTGTTGGTGATGCTTCCAAATTTCCACCAGTGGGTTACAGAGCTTCTGAAATAAGCATTTAAACTATATAGTTACTAAACAGGATTGCCGCTACTCTTAAATATTTTCTGATTGTTATATGTAGGTTAGTTTTGTCTCCCTGATTTTGTTGTCTTCCCCCCGGGGATTCTCTCTGTTCTCTTGTATTCCCACAGCTTTCGGCGCATTGCTGAACACGCGACGTACGTACTTGTTGATTTTAATGTATGTGTGTTTGCATATGTGTACAGCAACCGGGTAGAGGACACGGGTGTATAATGCAGTGTGCATTCCATCTCATCCCTTTTGCCTTGAGCAGCTGCTGCCTGGATGCTTCCCTTCTCGGGAGAGGCGGCAGAACCACTGACCCTTTAACAAGTTGTCCCTCACTGAACAGGTGTCTTCCCCGCCTTTCGGAGGAGAGGGATGGCTGGACACTTAGTGACATCAGCGACCGACCAATGAGAAGTCAGGCTTCGGCAGCCACGCCAATGGGCGGCCAGGGGCGGGCCCGGTTTCCTGGGAGCTGGGCGGGCCAGGCTGGTGCTCCCGCCGCCGCGGACTCTCCGCCGCTCACGCTGCCCGCCGCCGCTCCCGCGACTCCCGGCGGCTCCGGTGGCGGCGTCGTTGCCCTGCCCGCGCTCCTCCCGGACGCACGGCTCGGGCACTTCCCACCGCGGCGCAGCTCCCCCTCCTCCCGGGCTCCCGCGGTGGCGCGGCTCAGGTCCCCGGGCGCAGGGCGCGCAGGTGGGCCGGCCGCCGCGGGGAGATAGGCCCCCGGGGGGACGGCGGCGGGACCATGGCCAGGAGACCCGGGGCGCCGGCCGGCTATGGGGAGGAGTTCACCTTCGTCAGCCCGCTGGTGAAATACCTGCTCTTCTTCTTCAACATGCTCTTCTGGGTGAGTCGTGGGGGTCTTGGGGGCACCTGGGCTGCAGGGCACCCTTCGAGGGTGCAGTGGGCTGCCCACGGCTGAGGAGGGGGCGTCCCGGGATGCCAGGTTCAAGGCGAGCGTCGTGAACGGCACTGCTTAGTTTTCTGGGTGATGACACTTTGGGGTAATTTATCCTGGGGAGGGACACCATACTGGCGCCGCGTCCGGAGGGGATGTTGGGGGAGGGAGGGGGAGGGTAATGCAAGAGATTCAGTAAAGACTTAATGGGTATCCTCTGGTCATCGGATGAGCATCTGTGACAGGCCAAAAAAATGGGTTTGCGCGGGAGAAGCGGGTTTTCCTGTTGGCCCAAAGCAGATCCACTGGTACATTCATGATTGGGGGACTTTCAGGCCTGGGGGCTGGGAGGCCCAACAGCAAAGAAAAAAGAGGAAAGGGGAAAAACACAGAGCTTCCCCTCCCCTCACCTCAGAGAGGATGCGTTAAAGGGCGTCATCTTTTCCTTTTGGAGGCCTCTGGTGCCCCCCTCCTCCCAAAGGCTGAGAAGGGGCAGGAATGGCCTCCAGATGTGGATGCTTTTCCCAGCACTGTCCCAAACTTTGCCCCACCTTTCTCAGGACCAGACTCCATCCCCTGGAGCCTGACAGTCTTCAGCTTCTTTAAATTGGACCCTGTGTTGGGCTGAAAGGCCAGCAGTCCTTTCAGAATCTTATGATTAGTGTGGAAAATTGGAAAAAATATTGGTCTGGGCCCACCTGGATTGTTGTCTCCAACCTGCAGTTGTTGACTAACCTGTGCAGTACGTTCATCTCTGTAGGCCCTAGATCCCTCCTCCATAAAATCGAACCCAGTACGATCAGGGATGGCGGAAACACTCTGCTGGAGCTGGGAATCCACCTGGACCAGATCATGAAATGCTAGCTCAATTCCGTTTCACTTCTGTAGAGTCCCTGAGCTCCTCCGGGTTTGAGAACATAGAGAGGTCCTCTCCCATCCCCCATTCTCTTCCAGCTCCAGCCACGCTCAGAGCAGCTGCTGTAGGTGCCCGTTATCCCTGCCCATTTCAGCCTGAGACCTAAAGTTCAGACTTGCAGGAGAGAGAAAGCTTGAGTCTAAAATGTGTTTCCTAGGAGAGGGAGCCGACCAGGCATCTAAGCCAGTTGCTGGAAAGGTTTACACGGGCCATGGTTTGAAGAACAGACACAAAGTACATAAGTGCTAGCCTGTTGGGACAAATGAGAGAAATCCCAGAGGGTGGTGATGAGAGCTCAGCCATTGTACTGGGAAAAATGAAGTTTGAGTTCCTAACAAATTCTCAGTTTTAGAACTGGAAAAAAAAATCTAGAAGACATTCTGTCCAGCACCCACATTTTATATATGAGAAAACTAAAGCACAGAGATGTTAATTGTTTTATCCAAGGTCTAACAGCTGGTTAGTAAGTTTGATCTAGTGGTTTTTCTGTTGAACTACAGTGCCTCTAGGGGAAGTCCGTGGCGCAGATGACTGCTACTGTAACTGGGGAGTTAGTATTACTAGGTGACTCAACTTCCCATGGTCTAGGGTCGGCCTCAGCTGGAGGTTAGGAAAGAACAGAGAAAAACTCACCACCACTCTGCTGGGGCTAGGGGATGGTCTAAGGGAAACTCCCTGCCTAAGGGCAAGTCCCAGTGAACCCTCCTACATGCTCCCTGAATGTGGCAGGCCAGTAACATGCCATCCTGGGGGATGACATACCATCCTCAGAGCCAGCATTAGCATCCCAGGGACCTCAGATCCTCATTCTGAGTTCCTCTATCAGCCAAGACTCTGCTTCTTCTTTGGAGCCTTTAGAAGTTCACCCTTATCTGTGTTCCCCAGCGGCAACAGCTGGGTGCATCTGTTATACTTGAGTTCATGGTCATTTTCTTGGACTTCCCCACCCTGTTCCATCCCCAGCTTTTACCAGACAAATGACTTTGGGAGGTTGCAGCCAGGGAGAGAGTTTGGCTCCATAGACCCATTTGCCTTGGTAAAAATGATTCATTCAGGGTCAGAGGACCTGGCTAACCAAGCTGGCACCACCCCAAATTAAAGAAGAGCCCCTTCTTGGCCCTACTTTAGACTCATAAAGAGTCAGAGGCTCTAGAAATAGCACAATGAAGGACAAGAGGCCCAGTTCCTTTCTGGCATCAACTTACTGTGTGACCCTAAGCCAATATATCTGTCTCTCTGTCCTTAATCTTTCTCCTCTAAAGGAGAAAAATTTTCTGCCTCTGTGAACTATTTAAAGATGAATGCATCACTTTGGGGACTGTTTTCTTTCTTCAGGACCTGGAGCTGGATCTAAGGATGCATCTCTCTGTGTCCTGGTGTCCCTGGGACATTGACCTTCCCAGAGGCCAGTACCTTTTGGGTGTTACTGAGTGTCATATCTCCCCCAGGCCCAGAGTCATAGAGCTACATCCTACACAAATGCAGTTGGAGATGAAGAGCTGCTTCCCCAGTTCAAGGGTCCTCTTTCTTCCTACCACCCTTCAGGGACTGGTTCCTGTGCTTTCTCTTTTGTAGTCTCTCACCATCCTAATCAAATTCCCCTCTTCTGCCCAGGAGGCACCCATGTTGGCCCTCTGCTTTTCCAGGAAGAGCGCATGTTCTGGCCAGCTGCTGGGGGAGCCGTGTATGGGCTGTGTTTGTGCTGGGACACACTGGGAAGGTAGCCAGTATTGCCTGGGGTCACACTCAGTGGTGGTGTGGCACTGGCTGATCCTTGCTGCTACTCTAACCAGCTCTGACCCTTGGGTCATTTAGTCTGACTCAGAAGGCTGCTGGCCTCTTTGGGAGCAGGACCCGTTCCTCCTGTTCACGTCTCAAATCTCACTTCTCCTTTTGCCTAGGAGTTCTGGTTTTCTCCCCAGAATCATGCTGCTGGATCCCTGATTGTTGGGATCCCATGACCCAGAGGAGTTGCTCCAAGACCCCAAAAGTTGTATTACAATTTTTCAGTTAAGAAGTAGCTGACTTTCCTCCCCTCCCTGTGTTGGACAGCTCTGTGCAGAGGGAAGACCAATGCCATGGTACATTGCTTTATCAGCCTCGGGCATACACTGGCAGGAACATTATCAGTGCTGCCCATGGCGGTCATCTCCTTCCTTGCTGGTCCTTTTTCCACCCAGGGCAGCAGTTGGGGTGGTTTTGAGTCAGGCTGAACTCAGACCTCCAGTCCCTGTGACTCAGCCCAGGCTTCCTTGGTGGCCATGCCTCGGGGATCCCATGACACCTTATATATACCTTGATTGTCACATCCCTTACCTCTGCTGCAATTATGTGTTTATTTATGTCTCCTCTTCTAGACTTCAGGCCCCCGAGGGTACACTGCCTTATTCACCTCTTGCTTCTCAGTGCCCAGCTGAGTTTGGCAGGTTGGGTACTTATTGAATGGCAAATGATGGAGCAGCCCCTACCAGGTGAAGGCATGATGCCCCTCCTCCCTCTCTTATGGACACTAGTCTGTCAAGATGCAGCACAACTGGAAGTCCCTGAGCATTTGGTGGGGGAGAGGGATCCAACTGTGTTCTCTTCTGCCCTGGGTCCTGTGGCCTAGCATCCGCCCCACCCCCCCGCCAAGCCGGATCAGCCATCCCCTCCAACATCTCCCTCAGGACCATGCATAATTACTACCTACAGCACCCAGATTTTTTCACTTCCACTGCAGTACACGTGGACCCCCATCCGGGTCTTTCTAGACTGCTCCAGGCCTCTAGTGAGGTATCTTCTTTAAGAAATTCACTCCCCCCTCCAGGACCACTGTATTGGAGTCCCCAGGGCAGTGAGAATGCCCCATACCACCTGCAGCACCATCTGTTGTAACCTGGCTCAGAAGCCATGAGGAAATGACCAGGCATCAAGCCTGGCAAAAACCTCTCCTGAGTGGCAGGGGCCCTTTCCACCACCTAACACAACCCCCAGTGTGTGCATACACACACACTCACACCTAAATATGTTAGGAGACAGAGCCCATCCTCCCCCCTCCCCCCGCCGCCAGCTCTCCTCCTTTCCCTGTAGACTAGGCAGGCTGTAATAAGTGACATAGTCACATTCTTTTAATTAAAAAAAAAAACAAACACTAAAAATGAAGACAAGAAGCATATCCTATGCTGTCAAGTCACTCACATACTTTCTTATCTCAACAGCTCTGTTTGCCTTAAACCCCATAGAAAATCATAACTTCAAGAAGCCTTTAAAAGAATAAAAGAAAACATGTAACACCTCTCGGGGTCTTGATAGCAGACTCTCTGTCAGGCCGGGAACTCCAGGGCCATAGTTTGAGTGTTTATGCTACTGTGAGCCCTTGTGGACTTCCGTCCCTCATGTATAACCTTGGGAAACCAAGACCAGCCATGGCCTAAAGAGAAGCTCAACGGTTGGCTCCAGACATTGGAAAGGAAAGAGTTCTGTGGATTCCCCCACTCCAGCAGGACAATTCCATCCAATCCAGGGAGAGAAAGCCAAGAGCCAGTTTGACATAGATAGTTGTCACCTCAGAAATCCAGGAACCATGGTGCTGGGATGGCCACATGAGGACCAGGGCATGCAGAGCCTGGGCAGTGAGAGAAGGGGCCCTGCTTTAGGTCGAGCAGGCTTATCCAGAAATAAGGGTAGGGTAGAGAGGACTGAGAAACCAGAGGTACAGACCCCTTCCTCCCCACGTCCCTCTGGGTAGGGGCAAGGTCTTGACTCCCACACAGGGAATGACTCTATTCGCAGCTGTCTGTCCCCCACCACCACCTTCGAAAGAAGAGGGGAAGAGATTCCAAAGAAGAGGAGAGGACTTTGAGATAGATGCAGCCATTTTGTGTAGACTGGACTTTAGAATGTGGAGACAGACAAGGCCAGGGCTTTCTCTCAGGGGCTGGTGGGCCCTGCATCGTGATGCCACGTCCTCCCCTTTCAGGGTGCTGTTCCAGGGGCTTCCCTCTGGGCCCTGCTGGCACCATCACCTCCCTGTGCTCTCCTATCCCCCCCCACC